GTGAGATGGCATGTAGCACGACTGCCCGGTGCTCTCGTGGACACGCTCTTAACAGCAGGTTCGCGATTGTGGTTCTTGGAATTGTTTGATCAGTTGCCGTCCATCTCTGAGGATCGAACACGCTCACCAATTTTTATTAACGTAAGTTATCCTGTTGTGTGATCAAGGCAACTGTTATCGATTTCTTCTATTTTATTGTTATTACATAACTTTCGTGACATCATAACTAATACATATAGCTTTGATGAACCACACGATGCTTTTGAAGATCACTTTTTTTTTATATATCTTTTTGATGAAAAAAGAAACATGTTTCGGATGAAACATCATCCATCGTCAGTTGTATAATGAGAATAAAATGAAATTTTGCAATAAATAGTAGACCAAAGTGAGATGTTAACAAGAATAACAAAAAATATGAAACTATTTAAGCTAAGAAGGGAGACTAATTAGTATGAAAGGGATAAATTAAGATGTTTGGACTGGGAATTTAAAGACGGCTGCTCCCAAAGGATGTGCATGGCTTCCATAATTTTCAATTGGAAGCGTGTGGGGGCAGCTTGTGGAAGCATTTTTCCATAGTTATATCCACATCCATCTTAAACATCTTAATTTATCCCTTTCATACTAATTAGTCTCCCTTCTTAGCTTATATAGTTTCACTTTTTTTTTTGTTATTCTTATCTCACTTTGTTATAATATTCATTGTATAATTTCATTCTATTTCTCATTATACAACTGACGAAACATGTTTTGTTTTCATTAAAAAATATAATAAAAATAAACTTTGAAAGCATCGTGTGGTTCATCAAAGCGGTATCTTACTTCGTGCCGCTATGAAGCCTTAATACATAGAAAGTAATTAGGAAGTAATATAGGAAGTAATTAGATGGCTCTGTAAATAAATTGTCAGTGTTGCAAATAAAGAAACTTAAACCTAATACACAAGATCTACAACGGATCTAAACGAAACAAAACCATATTAGTAAACGGCTAGAGAACCATCATAAACATATTTTACCAACCTATAATTGGACGATTCGTTTTGACCGCGCTCTTAGGTACCAAGTATTGCTGATCTTGAAAGTTTTCAAGAGCAAAACCAAACGTAAAAGCAGAAGCTATCAAAATTGCTAACATCACGGTCAGCTGTGGAGAAGTCCGGTAAGAAAGGATGGCACGCATGCTAAAAGCCCTGTGTAGATTTTGTTGGTCGATTGAATTCAGTATCTAGATAAGCACCAATGGTGACAGTTGAACAGTAGGAATCTGTTCTGAAGTGTCGTATCACTCGTTATGTTCTATTGTTCTCGTACACTTTCTTTGTTCCTTTCCCAACACGCACTATAAATAAAATAAATGCTGTTCGTGACTGGTTGCTTAATGATTGTAATTACCTACAAATAACAATGTTTCATGACGGTAAAGATATTTCCAAACAAAATAAAAGGTTTAATTCCTCTTGGTGGCATTGGAGCTCAGTGATCCTGTAGTATGCAATTTATTCCAAGCTTGAAGGCACATGGCTAAGATTGGTAGGGCTGCATTTACCGGGTACCAGACAAACCACCTAAGGTTAACCGCAGGTCATTGTTCACACTAATAGCTATTCATAAAATTTAGACGCACTCGGATATATAGTTTACAGCTGTAAATCTGCCAACACGTTGTGAACATATAGACGATCTCAATTCTTGAATCGCAAAAGCAGAGGGACTTGGTAACTCAGATAGATGATGCCATCAAGAATTTCTTAAGGTAGTGCTCCGCGCACGGCAGGTGATAAAACCAGTGGGAAGGTTAAAATTTAGCCCGGTTTAAATCAGTGGGCGACAATATTAGTCTAGCCCTTTTACCCATGGGTAAATAGCGTTTGCCCACGGGCAAGGACGTTTTTGTGTGTAACCGCTTTCCCCAGACCGAAACTGCCCTAGTGTTATTTCCATGGATACATAGAAAAGAACAAAAGAACTTCGCGTGACAGTTCCTGAACTGAAAAATAGGGTATATCTGCTCCCTGAGGTGGCTTGGCCAATCATAAAGCAGAATATAGCTAATACAGGAAATCGCCTGCAGTGTTTTGAGGTGACCTCGATGCGCTTGGCTAATTTCACGCCTTCTTCGGTCCCTTCTCGCAAAAAACTGCTGGACTGTTATATCTATGGAGGAATGTCGTATAGTAAGCAGGAGAAGCACTGAAATTAAGCTTAATAGATCTTGATTCGTAACATCCATGTCGTTCTGTACTTTTCCTGCCTATTTGTCAGGTCAGTGAACTCATATCTAATTATATTTGACCCTGAGGGGATTCTACTGTGTAACTGCATCCCCAAGGGTAACGTGAAACCTGAGCTTAACCAAACCCAAGCCATTTACCCAACATAAGGCCCCAAACCCAAGGTGTGTGTAACCTCCACTAATGTACGATGGCCCGTAAGATTCTGACTGGTACTCAGTCGTCCCCATGAGGTGAGTGGCCATTGCGGATGGGAAGCGAGCTTTTGTATGATGACAAGCGACTAAACATGGTTTGTGCGACAGAGGGTCTTTGTTGGAGTTAGAGGGTGTGATAAAAATCAATTCAGACGGGTTTATATTCTTTTCTTTTTCTAAGTGAAAGATTATCTTTTGATTGTAAATGAAACTCATTAGATGTAATGCATCGCGATAGGAGCCATTGCTTAATGGGTAGGTTACCGGTAGGTTACCATTATCGCGGTAGTTACTGATCTCGATAATTGTTTTTTTTGTGTATGTTTACATTCATCGAGAATAGTTGATTTTGACTGAAATCCAAATACCAAAAACATCAGTCAGCAAATAGAACAGATCGTTTTACAGCTAGTACTTTTAAATCAGATTTGGCGGCACCAGTTCTTTTGTAGGAACGGGTCTCAGATCAGGAAACAAGATACAAAACATTAGGAGCGGGAAAACTGTGCTCGGAGGATTTTTAAGAAGGGTTTTCCCATGAAGCCAGGTATACGTAACTCTTTTTCAAGTTCTTGGTCTTCCTGGTTTCTATAAGAAAATAAGGTCAGGGTTCGGAAATAGGAATAGGCAGAAGCCTCACACCATTGTCACTATGACAGATATTTAGTGTCCGAACGCTTCAATGACAAACTGGGTTCCGGTTAAATACTCACTTATGTTGTCGAAGTCACTCCTTTATTTATATTTTGATTTACTTTCTTTTGGATAATGCTTACAGGTTTGGTCGATAGCGGCAGTGGTTTAATAAAGCCGGTTTGCGTTTAAAATTCAAGATAGTTAATCAAGTCAAAACCAGAGTAACTCTTGATCATATTCAAACATAAACTATAAGAACACTCCTCTTAAGGAATTTTGTGTAATTTGCATCATATACATTACTGCTTGGCGGTTTCTTTTGTATTTGACTATTGACAAAGATGAACCCATTTGATCTAATTTCCAGGCTTCCCCTTCGTGTGTCAGACACATATGACTTTCAACGTTGGCATGGAACAATACAAAAATACAACACGGTTATTTATAAACATTTGTGTCTTGTGCCCGAAGTGTTTCCCACCAGCCACTGCGAGTGCCACGATATCACCGTGGAATCACAGAAAGGGTCAAGGTCCAAGCTAGTTATGTCCTCATCAAACGGTGAAAGGAGTGTGTCCAGTCGCCTACTATTGTGAGTCATCAATTTTTCTGTCCTCTTTATCCATAAACAACACATCGCAGAAAAGATTCCTTATACATAATGTCTGTATTGCGGTTCTATTCTCACAATCGCTCTCATCACCAAGTGGGCGCATACATCGACGCAGTTATCTTACATTTAGATTGGAACCAGGCCTTCATGATGTTAAAACGTACAGAAGGAAATATTTTATCTGAAAGAATAAAGGCAAGCAAGATAAGTCAGCGACTTCACATATGGATATGTGTTCATTTGAGCGTTCTCCCAGCCTGCTTTTCCTGTCAATACCTGAAAATAACATCTCATTCCTAACTCAACTGTTCGCTAGATATTAGATGAAATCTGCTCATCCGCCAATTTTAATCATGTTTCATTTGTCTTCGCCTGAAAACAACTCTTCATTTAGATGTAAGGGATACCAGCCACATTTCAACGTGACCCTCTCTAATGCAGACACTATGCCGTCTTACAGAGAGTTGCATTTCACATAGCAATTCTACGTCGAAAGAGGATCTACGCAGTTGTTCTATTTGCGGGAAAAAATTGAGTTTGTTCTGTGAGTTCTTAGCAATGATCTATCAGAAGAAAGGCACAAAAATGAAGTCATTTATATCATAGATAGCTTTTTTTTGCCTTTTCATAAAACAGATATATTTCATGACGTCAAAAAGTAGCAAACAGAGGACAAAACGAGATTGAATCTTGATAAAAATGTCAAAAATAGGTGCACGGGAAGTAAGTGTAGAATCCTGGTTATAAAATTTTCATTCACACGCACATGCTCCTCACCCATTAACTTGAAAAAGATTTTTATATAATATAACCAAGGTAAACATCCGAATAATTCTTTGAGATTTTCCTTACCTCAAAAGATGAGTTCAGTCGTATCCCTAAATTAGCGGTGACTCCCTGTAGGAGGACAATAATGCGTAGCGTACAGTTCACATAGTTTACTAATGATTCTACAAAATTGAGATCTGTTTAATTTACCTGAAATCTTCTGTTGTTCTCCTGGTATTGGTATTTTTTGTGGAAGGGCTAACTGGACTCGAACTAGAACGGCAGAGAAAGAAAACTAATTAAAATTGTGGTAAGAATAATAAGGGAAGAGAGTTATGCGTCATAGGCCTCTTTCATAATGGCGGGCGTTGTTATCATCCCTTTAAGTTCATTCAACTTATTAGCCTCACTTTTTAGTGGAAATTTATTACTTTTAAACATTGGTCGAGGCCAAAAAGGCTAATTTACATGGATAGAAAATAATAGAAATTAGTCCTGTCATATAGGAAAGAGGTCCACGAGTGCATTATTTCTGCACCCAACTTTGATTCACTATTAATTTAAAAAAAAAAACCGCCGAATTTTGGACTGTTTTTATTTGATTTTCTCTCGTTTTGGTAAAAAATCAACTGTTCACTACTGTAAGCAACTGTAAGCAACTCAGCTGAGGATAATGCGGAATATTCAGTACCACGTAATATTTCATCTTGAAATATTTGTCGTTGAAGATTTATCGTTGAAAAATGTTTCTATTGTGGGTCAAGTTTTTGTTTTTGTTTGTTTTCTGTTCAAAACCAGTTCATACTTTCTACCTTGCTATAAAATCATAATCACAATCTAAAATGACGAAAAGGATGGTCTTAATCCCCGCTGCCTACACTCTGTTTCGTAAGTCCTTCGCTGCGTTTCACTGTTCGTTATCGTTTTCCCTTGCCTTCTGATATCCAGGTGAGAGTAATACGTGACCCAGCCATGCTCATCTTCTTCACTTCTAGAAAGGATGTTCCCTCCCGTTTCTCGCAGGCCTTCTTGGCATGGCACACATATGAATCATTACCCAAGTTTCGCGCCCTTACATCAGCACCGAAATGACATTACACTTAAAGATTTTGATCTTAAGTCCTACTCGTAAATTAACTTCCCTCCCAGATCTTATCCAACCTGGAATACGCCGCCATTGTTTTTTTTAATCAATGTTCCCTTTATGTCTTCCTCAGTGCCACCTTCTTAAAGACCTTCGCGGCCAAGAACACAAAGCCATCTTGGTGTTCAATACTTGTACTTTCTCTTTGCTGAATATATTAAAAATCAGGAGTTTCACCTCTTTGCGGTTATTCTTGAACTCAGTTTCTTTGCTGAAGAAGTTCAGACTTATTACTTTCTTCTGAATCTAAGCCAATGCAATATCATTGGAAAATACGTCATGGCTTAGAACATGATTTCTAACTTATACTAATTTCGTTATATCATGTACTGTTCTTCTTATAATGTAGTCGACACGAACAAGTAATAAAGTTGAAACTGTGCTTCAGGTATTCCAGATATCAAACAAACCGGCCGTTATTATTTTGAGCTATCAGTCAGAGCTCACTTGTTCTCATATTACATGGCCTTGACCATCTTGATTAGCTTAATAAGAGAAATCTCTGCATAAAGACTTGTACAAAGCTGGCACAAAACCAAATATTAAATTAATCATCAGGCTTGGCACAAACTAAGGCTCCATTTACACGGTCTCGGGTATCCGAGACAACCTTCCCCCCCAGATACCCCGGGCGAGCTAACTTTTCAACTATTTCTTTACAAAATTCAGCTGAACGTTTACATGAATAAAAGCTAAGTTCACGTGTGATGTAGATCGCGACGTTTCGACTGCATACTGCTAGTCTTATTCAAGCGATGAGGTCGACTGGTCATGCGTGATCTTATAAAGCATGATGCTTTGTTGTGATTAGTTGTTTTTCAACAGCTCTGATTGGTGCATTCCGATCCTTGCTGTTCATTCAGTGACCTGCTCCCTCGACGGTCCACTGTCGCACGGCTCTCCTGTTGTTGTGTTTTTGATCGTGGGCATCCACGCTTCTGGAATTTCTATTCCACTATTCCTGTTGATGTTGTTAGGGTGAAGTCTTATATGAATTGCCTCTTTGACCCTGCGCGTGTAGTAATATGGGTCACGATCAATAAACTTTACTTCGTTCCAGACTGGCTTGTGTCCGGTGTTGTGGGCATGCTCTGAAACGGCGGAGGTCTCGGTACGGGCGAGTCGAATGTCTCGATCGTGCTCCTTAATTCTGTCTTACATAGGTCTTCCAGTCTGTCTGATGTATACCTTGTCGCATTCAAAGGGAATCCTGTAAACTACGCCATCTTGTTTAGTCGGGTCGACGGCGTCTTTTGGTCGTACTAACTGAGATCTTAGCGTAGTCAGAAGAGCTGTTAACGGTATCCTTCAACAGGTGGAATCACCAGAGCCTAACATCACGAAGGA